CTGAGGAACGTGACCATGTTTCATGTTACACCCTTAATATGGATACTTCCTTTTCATTGAAATCGGATATTTTTTTACAACTATTGCTTTTTATGCTATTGCAACCTAAGATCCTCTGACTCCACCACCTTGTAATAAATAACCTAAAAAAGAAAGGCCCAAGATATCTGCCAGTCAGACAGTGGTTTAGTGTTTCAGAATTAAAAAGAGTGTAAGGTATATTTATATATTCCCCCGTGCTGAGCCTCTGCTGTCCCTCCGTTCAAACAGTCTGTGTGCCTTTCCCAACTTTCCGTCAATAAGCTGCCAGGCAAAAAGTTTTGCTGCAAAGTAAGCAACTGTGACACTCACACAAGGAATCCTTTCAGCCTCTCACTCTGCTCGACATCCACCTGACTTTATGGAGGATTATTCCGCTTGCCTTTGTTTTGGCAGCCATCCCAGGCTCGGCGTACGCGCGTCTGTCTTTTTCCAGAGCTTCAAGTGGAAACGCTGTCAGGCTTTTCAGCTTGGGATCTTCTGTTCTCCTCGACTTCCTAGAGCCCAATTTACTGTGGGAGAAAAATACCTCCTGTTACAATTAGGTAAAATGGGTCAAGCAGCAATGCAGATTTAGCGGATCAAACATGGAGGAGCTGGCATGGCGTCACAGGAATATTAAAAACTCTCCGGCTCCGGATAGGTTTTTTTGTGTTTCGGGAAAACAACTCGATGAATTTAAATGCAAACTATAATGTGCTATCGGTGGGAAGATATTTAGCCGTGTCAAACTGTAAGCAATTTGCACTATCCTAAAGAGAAGCCATTCAAAAAATAGACACGAGCAAGGATGGTTGATTGGAAGGGTGAAGCGCCAGTGAGATCTGTTCAGCTAGTGTTGCATGATGGGAGGAGGAGGATGTAGTCCTAGAAGGGTTTAAGTGTATGTCTGGATAAAATAAAAAGACACACATTCAGTCCATATCTGCAGGACGTGTACATTACCGCATGTTTTGTTTCTTTAAAAATTCTGCAAATAAGTAAGGAAAAATACCTGTAATCTCCCAGAAATCCAGTCTGCTCCTCGCTTGCTGTTAAGCTGACAACACAATGCCTCCGGTGCATTGAAATCCCAAGCAGCGTTGTCAGAACTCCATCCTTCCTCCACCCTTTACGTTGCCACTCCACATACATATATTGATTTCTTTTTCAACAAAACAGTGCTGCTGCCTTGACTCCTAAGAACATGCCCATATACTGTGCATAGGGACAGGGCTCTTGGGAGATGTAATTCTGAGGGTATACTTATATGTAAATAGGAACAGAGCAAAAAGTGTACATGCTTGGTCATGATATCATAGGAAATAATAAAAGCTGCTTCCTGTTACGGGAAGAAGGTGAAATAAAATCATGCTGATACATGATCTAGAACAGGGGTAGGCAACTTTGGCACTCCAGCTGTTGTGGAATTACAAGTCCCATGAGGCATTGCAAGACTGGCAGCCACATGTATGGCTCCGAGAGGCAGAGGCATGACAAGATTTGTCGTGCCACCAAAGATGGAGTGCCAACATTGCCTGCCCCTGATCTACAGGTATAGAGGGAGGTTTGGTGGTAAATTTGGGCAATACCTGGACATACTGTATATTTTAAGAGAACGAGGACTAACGTGTGGCAATTACCTAACTAGCCAGGGGAAGGATTGCTGGGAAGAAGGCTGTATGTTTTCTAGAACCAAGGTATCCTCAAATATGTCAGCATGGCGGGGTAATCTTTGGTGGTAAGAGCACCTTTGGAGGTAGGGGTGGTTGGGTGCGTGTTCAGCACACGTTTCCTTCTCCCAGTGAAAACAAACATAGTAGGGACACCCAGAAATTAGGCTTCTGGTAGGGGAGGAGCTAGATGGATTCACTGCACAACGGCACAGTGTTCCTTTCCATGATCAGAGATAAGTACTTCTGCAATAATCACTAGACCAGCAATTAAGATTTCATTCCTCATGAGACATCACAGCTGACCAGGTCTCCCTTTTATCTTGTACTGTAAATCCAAATAAAATAGGTAACAAAATCCATCAGTCTTAAAGCGCTGGCAGGGGGACTTCCAGACATTATGGTATGTTGGACATAAATTCATGCCACTTGTGCGTTATGTCCAGGTAGTTTGAGTAATGAATAGTCTTTTTCCCTGTAAACACCTGTTTGTTGCATGAATGTTGCCTGTCTCATTCTATGTCTGTCTTCCATACGGTGTATGATTAATACCCAACCTCTTGTTTTGTTTTTCTTTCCTTCTCCCTCACTGTAGAAATAATTGAGCCTTCCACCACTAGTCCTGTCACCAGCTCAGGTCAGTGTCCACATACACTCAAGTATGTTTGGGTACTTTCTCTCTGCTTTGCCATGTCATGTGCCATCTGTCCGCTCAACCTATCAATAGCATAAAAGGGTCAGTCCACAGTTCACCCAAATTTGATATGTCAGCCACGGGTGGACCTTGAAGGGCTGAAACATCCAATGTCATGTGTGTCTCAAGAATTCCCGCAGCAACATATTCCCAGTCTTGTCTCTCTTGATGAATATGCCATAATGTCATATGAATGAAAATTATCAGCCTACCTCATAATGCCCATAGCATTTGAAAAGATGTAGAATTAATGTTGCAAGAAAAAATCACCAATGAAGTCCAGAAGATATACATCATATGGCCAAAAGTATGTGGACATCCCTCCTAAATTCAGGTGCACAAAACCATCTCCATAAAGACATGATTTGGTCGGTTTAATGTGCAGGAACTCAAGTGGCCTGCACAGAGCCCTGACCTCAACAATACCAAACACATTTGGTGTAAATTGGAATGCCTGTTGTGAGCCAACCTGAGCTCACAAATGCTCTTTTGGATGAATGGGCAATCATTCACACTGCAGAATCTTCCCAGAAGAATGTAACCTATTATAGCCACAAAGGAAAGGCTAGCTCCATATAATTGGCCGTGGTTTTGGAATGCGATATATCCAACAAGCATTAAGAGACTGATGATACATTTTGCATTTGAGGAAGAATCGGCCAAAATGTAGATGACACAGCAGTGTAAAATTAGCCAGCAGCAGGACAAATTTAAATAGCAAGGTTAGGCCTAAATTTACTAGAGACAAAAACACAGGGTGGGGCTTTACTACAAGAATTAAGAATACTACAAAGGATACAGCAGTGTAGAATTGGCCATCAGCTAGACAGTGGTTTATTTTATCTGTAATGGGAATATGGGGGTGCCTTGAATCTGGGTGAAATAATGTGAGGTGGCTTAGGAGCAACATAAAATCGATATGCTCCCAAAATAAATAAAAAACACCAAAATATCACCTCAGTCCATTTTTTTAAAGGGAATTCTTGCTATGGACAGGACAGCAGCTAAAAGTGATCTCAAATCAACCACAGAATGAAATGAAAGAGAACAATAATAAGAACAAAAAAGGCAATAAGTTGCCCAAAGAGCTTGCATTTAGATTTTAAGTACATATTAGTATAAGATTAGGATCTTAACTGATTCTAATCAATCCCTATGCAGTTTGTCAGTTTTCATTAAAGAACTCCAAGATTTTGAAACGTTAACCCTCGTTTGTGGGGCTACCCATGTAGAGCAAGGATTAACTCCTCATTTTTCTCAAGGAACGAAAATGAAGAATAAATACTCACCTGATCCTCGGTCCTTCGGCAGTGACCACTCACCTCTCTTCCCCCCCTGCTCCGGCATCTTCATGTGTAATAGAATAGACACGTATTAGATGTGAGGATTCCACAGGTCCTTAGACTGCTTGAAGCCCGGAGCAGCAAAGGCTGTGGGGACCAGTCTAGCAGCTAGACAGGATTTGGGATCAGGTGACTATTTCTTCTTTGTTTTCACCCCCTAAAATAAAAGAAGCACTTAACCCTTGCTATTTTGGGGTAGCCCCACTGCAATGGTTAACCTTTGAAATATTGGAGTTCCACTTTAAACATTCCCCACAACAGCTTCCAATTCACTGGCACTATGGCTGCTCTGTGAAACCCCTTTTAAAGTGAGGGGGCTTTCATATCTTAAAGCACACTTATTGGCCCATCTACGCCTTCTGGTCATAGTTCATAGGCCATGCAGTGCATTATGGTTGCATGTAAATCTACACAGAAGTTAGCTGGGACTGCACAGGCTTTACTTGAACTTTACCTACAACAACTTCCAATTCACTGGCACTATGGCTGCTCTGTGAACCTCCTGTTAAAGTGAGTGGGCTTGCATATCTTAAAGCACACTTATTGGCCTGTCTAAGCCCTATGGTCATAGTTCATAGACCATGCTGTGCATTATGGTTGAATGCAAATCTCTACATAGATGTGTTGGGACTGCAGTGCTCAAACCTACAGGCTCTACCTTGAACCTATGGTAGCAGCTTACACGAACCTCAACCCTAGCCACAATTTTTGGTTATATAAAGTATTATATGTGAAGCCAGATGGTGATTCTGCCCACCAGCAAGATATCAGTTTTGGGTGGAATGATCCTTTAATGCCCGATTCCACCTTTTTGCTTTACAAATGTGAACATTTTAAGGAATGGGGGTGAAATCACACATTCTGCAAATTTATTTTCTACCATTACAATCAGTCTTGTCCCTTATTGGTTCCACAAGCTTTTGAGCTAATCATTTGGACGCAGTGTAAATATTCATGTTTTCGATGTCAAAAGATCTTTAGCTGAGCAGTGGCTGCAGAATGTTCTCATAAGCATCCTGCAAGCAAATTATCCACTGCTGTCTACAGAATGCTCACATAAACCGTGCATTCCATCTTCCTATGATTCCTGCATGGTACAGAGAAAAAAAATTCATAAGATTTGTGCATGATAAAAGACTGTGCACTTTAAAAACACACTTTGGAATTTTTTTTTACAAATGCAGTTGGTACCTGTTTGGCCATGGTGGATAGTTCAAAAGCACATATAGGCTTAATGGGACAAGACAAGTCTAACGTACTATTTACAAGGTTAATTATTTCAAACTCTGACTTTAGCTGGTCTTTAATGTGCTGGTGTCCTGTATGTTGTGTTGACGTGTCCATTGGCCATTTGTTGATGTTTGGAATCAGATATGTTAGAGTCATGCTTTGAGCTACATTGTGGGGCAGCTATTTATTTCCAAAGCTGTGTTTCACCTATGCATTAGGAAACAGTGACATAATCAAAGGGTGAGGCATAAGCTGAAGTGTGGTCCCCTGCTAGTTTTCGAAAATTGAAAAATGTGTGGTTTTGGTAAAAAAATTAAATAAAGTGAGGGTAGTGCCTCTGGCAAACTCTAATGGATAGCTTAGCACACATTTGAAGCAGATGGTCCTAGCTAGATGAAGTGGCTTAGTGTCTTGAAATCTTGCAAAGATCACTACAAAAGTTAACCATGAAATGTATTACCCTTGGAGTTTTACAGTAGATGTCTTGGTAGAGCACTAAACCCAAAAGTAGGAAGGGGATGGCTTGAAATCCAAATCACTGGTATCCATGGGGGTCCCTAGAATTGTCTAAACAAGGTAGAAAGGATGAGTGTATCGCAGATCTAGTGTGACTCCAGTTGTTGTTTTTTGCACATGACCGTAGGTCAGAAGAGAAAGCCAATGCGTTGCAGCAGCCCGATCGGTGACCTAACTACTACTTTAATGTTACAATTTGTTGTTCAGTATGCTGCCAGGGGAAGTTTTGAGCCCCCAAAACTTCTCCTCTGACCTTTTGTCATGTTCAATAAAGATTTACTGGACTCACATTGGACCCGTGGTGCTCTCATCCTTTCTATGTTCCTTGATGAGTTTTGCTATGAGACATATCCCCTTCTTTACAGCCTAATTCCAACCAGAACTAAATTTCATTTTCGGTTTTGGATAGAATGAAAAAATTATTTATTTTAATCAGAGTTGGAAAGGTCGGTACCTCTGCTAGGTTTCCCCTTGCCTCCCGTCTGAGTGACATCCAGTCATACAAAAGCTGTCACTAGGTCAAGAAGTGAGGGGGTCACAGACACCAATAAAGACCTTTCAAGGTTCTTACTCTTCCTCCCTATATTAAAGGGTGTTTAAAATAAAGTCTGTTCATTGCAGGCCTCGCTTCCTTTTCTTTTACCCAACTGTATGTCATTAATTTGTGCTGCGCACAAAAGTGGAACACACTGCGCATAAATGCAAATGGAACACCAAACCAGCACATTGGTGTAAACTGAAGCCATAGGACATAAGGAAAGTTGCCTTGTTCCTGAGTTGGGACTACGTTGTTGGGCTGCCCAACACAGTTGGTGTAAACAAGCCTTTTTTTTTTTTAAAAAAGGAGAAAGAGTGTGCAAAGTAGACAAAGCTGGGATCCCCGTAACCTATGAGAAAAAGGCCCCTGCACCTTATCCAAAACCACAAATATCTGTGAGTGGACCAACCCTTTTGGTGATATCACTGCTTCCTAGTAAACTGCCGGCTCAAGGATGTGTATCCAGTCCACACAATGGCTACTGTCACTATGAATGGCATATTTTAGCGCCCGTTCACACTAGATGCAGTGCGTTCCGGCCCGATTCTGGCCAGAACGCGCTGTCTCGCATTGCGGCCGGCTCACTTTTTAGTGGGGCAGGAGGGGGTGTGGCAGGCCATTCAAGTGAATGGCACCGTAGCCACGCCCTCCGGCCGCAATGCGATCGGCCACACGGGATCGCAAGGCACATTATGCCTGCGGTACGGTCCGGTGCGATCAAAATAGTGCTTGCACCAGACCGCATGCATAATGTGCCTTAGAGCATTGCAGACACCAGAACAAAAGATGCTGTATAATGCTATAGGATATTGATCTGACATTTTGCAAACCCTAGGTATAAAACATGCATGTCCTACCATGATCCAAACATGTTTGTCATAATGCTAACATAAACAGACATATACAGGGCTATTCATAAAAGGGTGAAGAGTTTGGAGAAGGCAGGAGCAGTGAACAATCTAGGACAACATAGCTGATTTGGAAAAATTCTCCAATTCAGCTCACTTTCCAGTTCGGCTATGTTGTCCCACATTGTTCACTTCTCCTGCCTTCTCAAAACTCTTCACACTTTTATGAATAGCCCTGATAGTATTTATAATATATTTGTAATGACTTTAATCCATTAAAATCTAAAACAAATTGTCACCTAACTCCAAAATCTGGAACATTGACTGGGAACTTGGTTGGTAGCGGTTATGTAATTAAACATCTGCAGGGGCTCCAAGGTGCATGTGGGCACTTTGAATAAGACATGTGTATGTTTATTGGGCAATATTGTATATGTTAAAATGGAGGTTTTTTTTAAAGGGAAGCCG